TGTTAAATTTTCTTATTTTCAAAACACTGTAAATTAAGTAGTATTTGCTGACAAATGAATAAGCACTGTTACACTAAAGCAATTCAAAATTATTTACAAGTGAAGAGTGGTATAAATAATCCAATCTGAATGTGGCTTTGAAATGAATTACAAGACCTGTAAACAAATATAAACGTACATCAAGGAATGACCAGCTATTTTATAAAGAATTCATAACTGGATTCTTTAAAAACAGTCCTCTAGTCAAATTTAATAAAACAGTGTAAGAATTTATCAAAGCATTTTGTTTCAAAATTTTAAAGAACGTATTTTCTGATTACAATAAGCCAAACTGGCAGGAGAAGGGGGAGGGTCTTTTTCAAAGAATTATTATTCTTGGCTATTGGACATGTAGAATCTGATCAGAAGAGACTTAAAAGGTGGCCTGGTTCAGGTCTTATGAGTACCACAGCCTAATACTCAAGCAGCTGCCTGAACTTGAGACCTGCTTTCACTATTTTCAACATAGTGTTCTTGGGCAAATCATTTAACCAGTCTTTGCTGTAGTGCTCTCATGTCTAATGTGAAGACAATAATAAATAGTACCTATCTCAGAGGGATGTAGTGTGGACTAGATAAATTCATAGGAATACAAAGCTCAGAACAGTGCATACGTTAATGTTAAATGTTGTTACTAAAAGGGAAAAAACCCCAAAAACCCAAGGATTAATTTCTAATCATCAAGGATCCAAAAGTAATAAACTGTTCAAAGCCCACACAAAGGCAACCAGTAGTTAGAGCTGGCTAAGACCAGAATTCCTAAAACTGGTTTCCTAGCTCAATGCTCTTGCCTTTTCCCTTCCAAAACCATGATCATCATCATTCCACTTTCTACCAAACTTTCAAAACCAACCAAATCCTTCAATACAACAGGCAATACCACCGAGCACTAGACTATTAAGACTGTCAATCCCTCCATTGTAAAGATTTAAGTTTTTAGCTACTTGAAATTGTGTTTTAAGTGAATTCTCAAGAAAAAATATCACTAATTACTTTTGTCAAATTATGGCTTAGAAAGGTCTAGAAGGCGGCTATGACATATTGATTAAAAAAAAATCACGATTTTTTAAATTCTCTCCAAGCCAATTCTCGGATATTACAATAGAGCAAGAAAAATGGATTGAAACTGCTGGAGGAGAGAAATTTCTTTCATCGGCCTTAGTCCACTACAATGGAATAGGAAAAGGCGGAGGCTCCATCAAAACTTGGGCAGGGGTAGCGGGGGAAATGCCACCTCCTTAAGCAACCCAGTCCGGCGTATTATTTACTGGAGACAGAAGAGAGCGGGACAGGCTGAGTCAAAGACAAGGGCTGAAAAGATAGAACAAGGGCAAATGGTGGTGACAATAACAGAGAAGTGATACCGACAATTCAGGCCAGAGAGCGGATCCTGAGGAAAGGAGAGACGGATCGGACGCAGAAGAGGGGTGGACGCGGACGCAGGGGAGGAAAACGGCGAGGAGGGCAGGGGCAGGGCAGGGGCTCCGCGGGTGCGGGCAGCGGTGGACTGTGACGGCCGGCGGGCCGCGAGGCCAGAGCGCTGGAGAACCGCGCACCCCGCAGGCTGCTTAGCGCGTCTCCACAGCGCCGAGCCCCCGTCCGCCCCGAAGCCCCAGCCGCAGCCTCGGCCCCCGGGGCCCCGCTCACCCGCGACCACCACCAGCGGAAATGTCCGCGCTTCTAGAGTGAGGGACGCGGAGGGACGTGCCGCAGCCGCGCCAATGGGCACAAGGGCCGACAAAGGTGCGCCTGCGTCAGCCCGAGGACGCGCCGGACGTAACCGTGACGCCCAGGCTGGGACTGGGGGCGGCTTCCGGGCCGGCGCGGAAGCCGCTGGCTTAAAACCTGCGGGCCAGGCGGAACGGCCTTCCCCGGCGCCCGGTTGCCGGGACAGGACCCGGGGTGCTGACCCAGGAGAGGATAACGCCTGTGCCAGTGGCTCACCACCTTCGGGAAGGCCTACTCTACCTGCTGTTCTCCAGTGCAGTTGTGGCTAAGCTAACCATTCTACTACAGTAATACTAACAGTGAAGTCAACTTTAAGCGGTATTCTCTTACAAAAAGCAACACTTCGCACCCGCTAGCATAAACAACAGTCGAGAAGGCGGAGTTGGAACCCTCATACACTACTAGTCAGACTGTAAATATCGCTGCTTTAGAAACGCCTGGAAATCCGTCAAATGTTTAAATAGCTAATCCAGCAGGGCCACTCTTGGTATACACTCAAATGAAAACACATGCCACACAAACTTTGTAATAGCTAAACTAAACAACAGGACCGGTATTCCACACTTCCACAGTGAAACACAGGTACATGCTGCAACATAAACCCTAAAAAAATTATTCTAAGTCAAAGCCAGTGACTAAGGGCCACATACTAATACTTCATTTTTATGAAATGCTCAGAATAGGCAAATGTACAGTCAGAAAATTGGTTGCCTATGGCTGGATTGTGGGTAGGGGGTAGTGACAGCCAACCACTACCAAGGTTCCTCTTTGGGATGTTGAAAATAACTAAAATTCATTGCGCTGATGGATGTGGAACCAAATATACTAAATGCCACTTAACAGTGCGTTTAATCTCAATAACGTCGGTGTTAAAGTTTCAGAAATTTCCCCATGTTCTAATATTCCATTTTATGCACAAATTCACTGAGATGCAAAACAGCATGCTATGAACCAAAATTAGTGGTTCAGAGCAACAGAATAATCTAATTCTAATAAGAAGAAAACTCATATGATCAATCTTGTGATGACATTTAAAATATATTTACTAATTAAGACAACCAAGACTCTGCTTTTACTTTTATTTGCATTTATTTTTTGCTGAATTTATTCCCGGGCCATAAGTTTTTGTTTCTTCAGTTTCTTCTGGGATATCTGTGGAAAAGAAAAAAAATAAAAGGGCTTAAGATTCCAGGAGAAACCCATACTACATCTTAAAGGAGGTCGTATCTCAACGAAAGAGCAACTGAAAATTTCAACATAAAGGTTAAGAGTCCTTTGGCGTAGAGACAAGGGGAGATGAGATGGGCAGCTGGGAGGAAATTATAGTAAGCAGGAGAGTCAAAACTGCACGCAGGGAGCCGAGATGGTTAAGACTAAGCGACAGCAAGGATGGAGGATATTTAATGATAAAAATCAACAGAAGTCAAATCCATTAGGTGTGAATTATCACCCTCAGGTTCCGGACTTAAAGAACTAAATGTAATCATTAACTGAAAACAAGCTTATTAGATTGGGGGGAGGCAGGGAAGGGGCCCTTTGGATATGTGGCATTCAAAGTGACTATGGACACTTCAAATGCAGGTAAAGAGTAAGTGAGGTAGAACATCAGATAATCATGTAGTTCTAATAAACTGGATAATACAAAGTTACTATTCATTATTAGTCACAAAACAAAGGAGACCCATGAAAGCCAAAATAAAATGACTACAAGAGGTAGTTGGTTGCTCAGAACAGTTTCCTTTCACGGTTATTCCAAAGGTGTCCTAAGTCAGTCATCACAGCAACCACTAATTCTAATACACCAAAGGAAACAGCAAAGACTAAGTAATTTACCTTTTTCTTCTGTGCAACCTCCTCTTCTGGTTTAGGAACAATCTGCTCTTTTTCAGTAAGGATCATCTCAATGTGGCAGGGAGAGCTCATGTAAGGGTTGATCCGACCATGAGCTCTGTTAAGTCCTGCGCCGCATCTTGGGAGCTTTGTTCACCTGGATGTGCTCAATGACCAGTGAATCTACATCTAAGCCCTGGGAAGAGGGGAGGGGAAACAAAACCAGGTAATACCTTTATTTTAAATCCACAAACTGCCGTTAAAGTCCCTGCCTTAATGCAATCATTTTGAAAGGCAACCTTTTAAAACTATTTGTTCAAGCAATTTTTTAAAC